TACTACTACTACTACTACTACTACTACTACTACTACTACTACTACTAGTATACTACTGCAATCAGGACAAGTTTAGGAAAGCTGCACATGGCACAACAGCCTGTGCTGTGGCATTACTACTGTGAAGAAAACACTCACATTGGGGTCATTGGGCGTAGAGGATCTACACTACTTGAAGAGTATAGATTGATGAAACAGGCCTCCATGCGAGCTATCCCGCCTACAAAACCCTTGAGGGCACCTGATAGCACATGTATTCACATGCCATCTACATCATCTATATACTCTCCAGGTAAGATAGAGGATTGGTCTTGTCTTGGGGACTTCCCATTTCGACCCAAGTTGGGGCCGTTTCCAAACGTCCCAGTTCGCCGGTCCGTCCAAGAAACGCCGCTGGGTGTCCCGGACTCGGTCCAAAGGGAGGCGCACTCCACGGCCTGTTGCAGGTCGGCGGCTTTGTTCGCCGCCTCGAGCATGGCGATGCGCTCTTGTGCGCGGTCCTCGAATCGAGCGATGCCCTTTGCTAGTAGCGATGCCCTTTGCTCCTAGTAGCGTCCTCCTCCTTGGAGCCGTGTTCTTGAAAAAACGAAACCAGACACAAATGGACACAAGTTACACTTGGCTTTGCATGTTTTGCCAAGGCGTTGTTTCAACAGTTTCAACGGGTCCAAGGGTGTGTGGGTGGGTGCACGTGCCAGCAAATATTCTATCTAGTTTCTGTTGATATTGCAGCTGGAGAGCGTGATAAAGTGCCGTCGCGTCCAACTGCTGCCGAACGAGATGAACTTGACTGCGTTCTTGCTGAAGCTTCCTTGGTTCGTACAGGATTCCGAAAGCTTCCCACACTTCATCGACAGTGTCTCGCTTTATCGAATGGAGAGTTGTTCCTTTTGCAAGCAGGACGCCTATCAAGCTCTTCTTTTTGATGCTCACTTGCTGCCAGGCGTTTCATCAAAGTGCTTGACCGCTCCTCTGCTTCTTCCTGCGCCACATCACGGAAACCCACATGAGTTACCCACATTCCGGCCTGGTTAACTTGAAGTTCCGGCCTGTAGTGCCCGGTCCAAGATCATGCTCTTCTGCTCCAGGTGCAGTCTCTCAATCTGCGTCTGAGCTAGCTGAGCTGCTGCCTCGGCCCACGAGGCTAGAGAGTTCATTCGGCATCGATTCAACTCATGGATCACATGACACATGACCTCTCTGTGTATCGATGCATTTTCAATTTTCAGCTGGTACTCCAATACTCTCCACTCAATTGCGCCAGTCAGCTTGCTCTGTGGCAGCTCCACCTAATCGGCCCAAGGACCTGGCCTGTTCCTTATGCATTTCTTGATCCAACTGCTTGTGCTTGGCCTCACCCGACTCGCCAATGAACAGCTAGCTACTCATGTTCGAAGCGGCCGACATCGACCGTCTCAGAAGCCATTCCGAAGTAACGACATAAGATCTTTAGTCTCCCAGTGGCTGCTTTGTTCGGACGAGATCTATATATATCTCTTTATATCTCTTGGAGGATCTACCATTCAAGAAGTGATCTACCAAGAGATCTACGTAGGCTTGACCTACTGGCTTTGAGTCGATTCCCACTTTGAGCTGTTGGAACAAATTGCATTAATCAGTCTGCATGATGAGAAACACTTGTCTCCGACCTCCATGAGTCTCAACTCATCAGCGGCTGCCAGGAGCTTTGCCTCGCTTCCGCCCCCGGAAGAAACCCCAATGAACCTGGGGTGATAGTAGTGAATCGGCATCTGGGCAAATACGGTCACGTTCCCCAACATCACAGCGGAAGTGTGAATGGATGTAAATGGGAAATTGAGCCCAGAGCCCCAAAGCCGGTTCACCAGCCGCTAGGGCAGCCTCTCGCTAGATCACGTTGAGCCACACTAATTAGGTCATCAGGTCACCCAAGCCTTTGCCAACAGCTTTTCCACTCAAGTAATCCAATCACCGGGATCTCAGAACTCAGCGACCCTGGAAGACCGGAGGCCGAGGTGATTCACAGGTTCCAAATGGTTCCGTTGCACGCCATGTCATGGAGCAAAAACCTCTTTTCAAGACCCTTTTGCACATCATTCGTATAGAGTTGGGGAAGTTTATGAACTTCATCCTGCAAAGGCTACTCTCCGAATACCGACATGTGTTGGACAGTGACAAAGGTTGTCCGTACCAAATCTCCTCGTTGCAGCAACCCAACTTGATTTCTTATAGACCATGTTATATAGAACTATGTTAGAACTATGGAAGTCTAGCCAAGTTTCCTCTGCAACCTCAGTGCCATGCTCCAGTTGCCGGCACCTGGGTCAAACCAGGTGAAGCTTGCTACTTGAGGGACAAACATGAGTGTGATAGATAAAACTTGATTTCAGCATTGAAGTGGTGGATTCTCTGGCAGTAACATTCCAGTGACCCACAGTACACTGGAGTATTCTTTGTCTTCCCAACTGTGCGGCTCTCTTGGTGAACATCTGCACTGATCACATGGGTAGAGTTACACCCAACAAATGTTCAATCTGGATTGAAAACACTCAGAACTTCAACACACTTCAGCCTAATTACCCACCACTCCAGGATGTTTCCCTCGCTTCTTATCCCATACAACTCTCACAAATGCCCAAGTGGGCCTGTCTTGAAGCTTCCGTGCAGCTGCAGCTTCGGACGTGGCCTGCTGCTTTTGCGCGGCCTGCGAGCCCACCGAGTTGCATGGAGCAAGAACGAGAGCTGGTGGATGTTTTACCAGGCCTCCAACTGAAGGACTTCACTTTGAGCACTTCTGGAAGATCGGTGTAACCGTTCCAGCTCATCTCGAAGTCTCTGCAGTTCTTCGTCATGCTGTCGTGCCATGAGATCCCGGAGCTCCTGGGGCGCAAACGAAGCCCACAACGGGCCCACTTCTTGGGAGAGCTGCACCTCTACAGGCTGCATGTTCACATCCTTCGAGTGAAATGTGAAGGAATTCACTGGGAGATCCCCCCAAATTTCAACCGAACCTCGCCCCACATATCACACATGATGCCTCTCAGAATTCTGGTGAGACCTCCAAGATTGATGATGATCACCCCCGACGACTTGTCAGGCGCGGCGCGGCCCCTTGGGCCCTCCTGGCTATCTTGTCGGATTTGCTGAAGCTCCGAGCCCAAGGCCCTCAAGTCATCGCCTGGAGGCTGCGTCGGCCAGTGCTGGCTTTTTTCTCATTGAGACACCCCCAGGAGGAGCGTAAACTTGAGTAGATTCTGGCGGTCATGTGCCGACACTCCAAGATGACGAGGGTCCTTGCAAGGCATTCTTGGGGGGTGCATTTCCTTGAGAATATCCACCTCCAAGCTGTCCTTGACCTGAGCAAGTAGATTTGGCCGAGAGTCACTTCATTAAGCCCAAATCACCAGGCGCTAAGCCTCCAACTGTGGAGCTGCTGCTTTAAAGCTCCAATCTCTTTGTACAATTGATCGCAGTGAGAACTTTTAGCCTTCCTCAGACAATCAGTTCAAAAGCGCTGAAACAAATTGCAAATCGTCTGTATCTTCTATCTATATAATATCAAATCTCAACATGGAAGCCAGTCTACTCGCAGCCATCCACATGAAGTGGCGCATGCACCACTCCCAGGACTTTGCTGCTAGCCCAACCACATGCTTACCCGGGAGAACATATGGCAGTGGCGAGTCTGAGTCTTTCTGAAAGAGAAACTACTCTCTCTCTCTCTCTCTGTCTCTCTGGAAGCCTATCTCTGGTGGCGTTTTGGGTAGTTTTCTTCCTTCCTTCGGGATTCAGTTCTGTCCAAAGCGGGAGTCCAAAGCGGTTCTGTCGAGCGGCTCTTTTGATTCAGCCTCTTCCCGCAGGTTCTGCTCCCGCCGGAGGGCACTCTTACCCTCCTCGGTGGCCGCTTGGAGTCTTTCTGAAAGCCTTACTACTCAAGGTAAACACTGCAAAAATGATCAGTAATATCTGGGGCTTGCTTTTATCGTGTGCAATTTGAGGGCTACAGAGAAGCTTAAAGGAGCTAATAATGATTTGTTGTTCTTGGAACAACAAATGGACTCACTATGACTCACTTGTCAATCCCCTTCGTGCCTCATGCAACTTGGAAGGTTCTTTGGATTGTACGAGTATTTCCACACAAGATTGACCACCACGATCCACACATGGACCATCTCACTCACCTCCTCCACCCATCTCCCCACTTCGTCCTGGAGCTGGAAAGTCAGACGCGAGGCCTACCGGAGCGAGGAGAACCGAACGCAGTGCGGCCTCCGTTGTGCGAGGCCTCCGTGGTGCTTTCCATAACGCTTTCCTCACAGAGCCCTACTTATACGCTAATATAAGCGCCAAATAGCGCCAGCTCTGATTTTAAAAAAACGAAAGGAAAGCGCAAAACTGTCTGGCCCTCCCGGGTGGCAGCCTTAGTTGAAGAATGTTGAAGACGTTCTACTCTTCAATCAACAGAAGACGTTCTACTCAACACTCCTGGTAAATATAGTGCCCTGATTCATCGAGGTCTTTGGCTTCCTTCCGATTACGCCACCATCACTCGCCTCGCCTCGCTGGCATGTAACTCCCTGGTCTGGTGCAAAAGGTGATGAAGTTGCACGACTTCATCGCGTAACCTTTGTGGAATTGACGACGCGAACGTGGTGGGACGCGAACGGCGCTAAACCGGACAGAACCACCGCGACCGTGGGCAGCGACGGGGTAGGCGATGTCGGGTAGGCGATATCCGATATCGTCATGCAATGGTTTTCCGGACCCCACGAAATGGTGTCGAAAAAGCAAAAGCATACATTACGAGGTGTTAACAACAAGCGCTGTTTTGCATCGATGAGCCATGCTCCACAGCATTCCTCTCTCCAAGGGACTGTTCCGCTTGAATGCGGGTGGTCGACATCTTGTGGCTTGGAGAAGTCGGATCTGCCAAGCGCTGGAACCGGTCGGAACCAGAAATCGTGGGAGTCTCCAAATCACAAACACGAAAGCTATTAGTAGCTTCTTGCTCCGTTCGTAGCGATGCCCTTTGCTAGTAACTTCTTGTTCCTAGTAATAATTTTAGCAGCTACTAATAGCTCCAATACATTTTCATGATCTTTCATGTGTGGGTTGGCTTTTCTGTGGTCTTTCATGTACCATGTACCCAAGTTCGAGACTCAGACTCATCTGGGCTTGGATCCAAGATCCCCACCCATTTGGCGAACAAATCCAGTTAGTGGCCGTGCTTCGTCACCCAGCCAGATGTATTGTCTATAGACTATAGACTATAGATGTTTATAGTACTTATAGATGTACTTAGCACGTCTTGCAGCCTGCCATCTGGCTGGAGCACCTCGGCTTTGCAGCATCTTCGGTGACATCACAGGGGACTGACCACCGGTCCTTGGAGGACGGGAAACGGATGCGAGTGATCTTGATATTATCTTGATGCCTCATGGTACCACACCTCACGCACAAATAAGAACGATGTGAAGAAAACTAGGAATGTGAAGGCAAAACCCATGGTTTGGGAGGTTTAATTCCATGATTTGGCTCAAAAAAGATTAAAACACATTATATTATATATGTGGATTCCCGTACTTTTGGTTCGTGCATTCTGGCCCAAGTGAAGGGTCAGTGGTCCAAAACATTAGACTTGCATAAAAGAACCCATGTCCAAGAAGCACCAAAACCGCATAGCAGCATACCGCTCACCTGGCCTGTTTGGAGTTTCTCTTCTCCACTCCAAGAATGAGTCCTCTCATTTGGACTCAAAACTTGAGTCTTCCCAAGCGCTGAACATCTTTACTTTGAACTGCTTCGCCAGTGGAGTGACCCGCAGTTCATGGCGAGATCCGGAGACGAGATCGGATGCATCGAGACTATCTTCCACACCAAGAGTCCGAGCCCGTGATGGAGATCCCATGCCAGGGCTGCTTTGAGCCTAATTCAGTTGATGGAGAAAATGTTGGAAGACTCAAAGCAGCTTGTTTTCTGGCACATCCGACGAAAAAGCATCACAGAAAGAAGGACCTTTCAAACGAGTTGCCTTTTTTGGAGGCCTCCAGTGTCCAGCTCACTCAGTTTTGCAGTGAATCTCAGCCCTGCACCGGACGTGGCATAGCTGATCTGCGAGGGGATGCACCAAACCTGCGCGCAGTGCAAGCTCACACCATCTGACGCAGTGAGATTTGAGCTGCCAAGTGGCCCAGCACCATCTGCCATGCCCACGCCAGCGGGCATGCAAATATCCTCAAAGCCAGGTGTACCAAACACCAAGGGGCATGACGTGCACCGGACATCAGTTGCTAACTGCACAGGGCGAGGCAGTGCGTCTGACTACTCCACAGGCAACTTGGATGTGTGAACCACTAACATCCCACCAGCATCATCTGGAGTTGGGCACTATGCTTGCTGAACCGGTATATAACGAAAGAGGTCCAAACCGCACGGTTTGAAGGCGGTTTGAAGAAGAAGAAGTACACCAAAACGGTAAAGTAAAAAATGACACCAAAGTCTCGGAAACAACAATCCCTATGCCGTACATTGCCTTCCAAGCATCTGTTTTCACTCACAACTGATAAGGAAAACAACTTTGTATAAAGTATAAAGAGAAGGTGACAAACACATCAAAGACTCTTTTCTAGGAGTGTGCTTCCTTGTGGACTTCGAACGTGGACAAGTGAAACACCTATAAGGACCAATATGGTAAATGATCACTTCAAAGTGCCGTCCTCAGGTCTGGCCGCCCCTGCCACATGACCTTCACGCCGCCGCTGACCTGAACGACCCGCCAAAACGACCACATCGACGGATCAACGGGGTATCTGACGCATCCACAACCAAATGCAGGGCGAGCGTCTACTCACTGGCCAGGCAACCTGGGCGATTGGAGAGGGGGACAGAATTGGTCTAACAACTCTCTGCTTGAAAGACGGAAGAGTCAGAGTGGACAACTTCCGTGAAGGAAGTTCCAGTCGCAAAGCAGCCGCAAAGCAGTGAGTTCATGATACCACTGGATATGAAATTGCTCTGCATGATACTTTGGAGCACGTTCAGTATTATACTCGCAGGAAACCCTGCGGGGTCGGGGGTCGGGGGACCGTTCCGTCTGGCGTTCGAGTCAAGGCACGTTGAACTCCCTGGAGCTCAGTCTTTCCATGAGCTGTATAGGATGTCTATACACACATGTCACATACGAAAGGCGAATTATACATTGAACATCATTGAACCATCTGGAAATCATACTGCAGATTGTGCACACACTACATATTCATATACTATACCAGTATATTGTGTGCGCTCTGTGTGCACATCTGGTTGTCTTCCGAGTCTGGTCAAGAAACGGTCGATGTGCTCCCGTCAAATGTCACTTCAGCTGGTGATAGATCGTTCGTCTCGCCAGCTTGTCCTCAGCGATAGTCTCGCGACATAAACCAGCAAAATCTGTGTTTCATGGTGTTTTATGTATCCGTATACAGTACAGTATCCATCTTGAACTCAATCATTCGCATATCATACATCTGTTTCCCGGTGTTTGATGCTGTTTGTGTGTGTGTGTGTCTTACTGTCTCTCCATCTGTGCACTTGGAACGCATGAGCCTAGTGGTACAAACACACATAACCAATCAAACGCGTCTGTACGATTCAGTTTATGGAACAATGTTAGGATCCCGTGATGATGATGACGATGGTGATTACGGACTACACTCGGGACCATTAAGAGAGTGACGGCTCTAGTGACAAGTCAGTTCAGATTTTTGCAACTGATGCAGTGAATTCCGAGTCTCCACGTGTGTCCAGGCCAAGGTACCGAAGAGTGCCATCTGGCGTCGTATCGCAAACGCGGGCGCGTCATCGTCCCTGATCTCAGATCCGCCCTTTTTGTTGGAAGCTGCAAAAGTTCTCTTTTCTTGCTATGGTGGTAGAAGCAGTTAGAAACCACCCTTTGAAAATTGTGTTTTGTTGTGGTATCTGCAATACCTAAATTAAAGCTTGAGCAAATGCCGCAGGTACATGCACCAAATAGTAAACTGCTTGCGCGCTGGCACTTAAATTAAGAAAGCTCCTTGCAAAATGCTTGCAGCTGTTTTGGAACCTGGCGACTAGACCATTTTCGCACCATGTTTGCTTGAAAAGGTCTTGAAAAGTGGATGTGACTCGAGCGCATGGGATCTTTCACTATGTTCATTCGATGGCACCCATGCTTCTCCTGTACCCAAGTGTTGCATTGGCCACATAGGTTCCAATCGCAGTGTTCTTGTCACTGCCTCTTGGTCAATCAGATGGGATTACGGATTACTGACTAAAACAAAGATGAATCTGAAAAGAACTTTGCCTAGTGACTCATCTGATGAACAAAGTTCTGATCACTGCCTCTTTGGGCCCAAACTTTGACTTCGCCTCCTTCAGCAGGGCTCAGTGTAGTCCCTTTGGGCGCTACAGTCCCGCGGTCCGACTGCTCAGCCCTCGACCTGGGACGCGAGGCAAGAAGGGGCGTGGAAGAAAACGGCAACCCTCGACTAGTAAAAAGTGGATCTGCAAATGTAAGAAGGCCCTATATCAAAAAAATCACCAACTAATACCAACGGGCTGACAAAAGGGCGCCTGATATGTCACAAGACTCCAACGCCCCATGGGTACGTGCTGCCATGCAGTACCGCCGCATAACTTACACCACGCCTACCGATCTGACCTGGCATTGTTCACCGGCACCGAGCTCGTCACACACAGTTGGGAAAAGCACTACTCATAGGATGCTCACGGGGGGGCATCAGGGGGTGGCAATCTAAGTGATACCCACAAGGTTTTGCTACAGATAGCACGTGATTGAAATGAACTATATAATCCTAATTGATATCCACGTCGAAATTCTTTAAACATCTGGCAACGCTTCACTTTCTGTCTTTGCTTTGCTTCGTGCCGCTTGCCGCCAGCAGTGCCTTGCTCATTGAATCATCCTGAGCCTGCTGACCGGAACTTCCGTCGTTGCACTTCTTGCTTCTTCAATTTTCCTCTTCGCTCATCGCTAGATTCCAAGGCTTCTCAGTCAAATACCCCCCCGGCCAAACGAAGACCATGGACCGATTGAAAAAGGACTCCTGGAAGAAGATGTTGCTCTGTAACCCGGTGGTTTTCAGGTTCCATGTTAATCTGCAGTTGGGTATGTCAAAGTCACCCTTCCGCTCACTGACTGTAGCACTCTGTGAGAGGCGATATTCTGCCGGGAATGCATGCTGTTGCTCAACAGTTCCAAAGAATTTCGACACTTCAGAAGAGCATGTTCCTTGCTTTGCCCTGCTATTACATTGCTCAGGTCCTGCTGGAAGCCATCTGTACAGTATCTGTCTCGCTGCAACAAACCCCCATCCTCGCTACCAGTGTCTTCGACTTTTCGGGCGATATGCCCAGTTCAGGACTTGGAACTGCCGGACCGATGTGCCGAAGGTGAAGTCTGGAGTCACAGACCCTCTGGACCTTCTGGACCCTCTGCTGGCTCGGATGTTACATCGCCTACCACTTTCGGCCATGTGACCGAGAGCAAGCGGGTTGGCGTGAGTCTGCCAAAATCAGCGCCAGCTGACTGGGTCTGCCAGTGCAGATCGGGGTACACTGGCAGAGCGTGCACCACATGAGATGCTCTCTTCAATTCTTGCGGCTTCGGCTTCAGTGGTTTCTGAATCCGGTGAAAACTGAGCGCTGTACCCAGGCCTCACGTGCGTAAAGAGTGATGGCAGCTTTGGCCTTTTGGCCAAGCTCCAGCTTTGCTAGCCTGGCAACAAAAGTACTCGCACACTATTCGCACTCAATGTATACAGTATAGTGTTTCGTGTTTCGAGGTGCATCCAATTCACTTTTTAGATGGAGGATGTCTACTGGGGAGTCATTTCCCTTCCACAGCTGGGAGTGGAAGATATGTTGTTGTTCCATGCAGGACTTGGAGGTCCAAATTCTATCAGTCTTGGTCATGGAGCTCAGAATCAGGATGAATGAATATAGCTAACAGGGAGTTTGCTTACCTTGGAAGCCTAGTCTTGGTATGAAAGAAAAGCTGAACAAGATTCTAACATGTACAGTACCATGTGCTCTCTGGCTTGGCCTCCTTTGGTAGGTCTTGTCCTGTTTAAAAAAATCACCAAAATAGCTCCTTGAGCGATGTCCTGGTGCGACATCAGATCCCTTCCGGTCCCACCCAGAGCACCAAACCAGTGCACCGTACGACATCAGTCCAGGGGGAGACCCGGTGCGGAACCGACCGTGCCTTGGAATGGGTGACTTGCGCTCGCAGCAAGTGCATGGGATGAAGGGATACTCCTCACGACAAGCCATGCATGATCACACCCAGCACCACCCAGTTCGGGTGGTTATTGCATGGAGACAGTCCTAGGGGGACAAAAGAATAACTGGGTGGTGCTGGCCCAGCTGTGTGTTACGACAGTTAGGCCGGGGTGAATTGGGACGCCAGAGATTTCTTGATTCACCGGGGTTTTTGCATAAATGGTGCGCCCACGAATCCGTAAAATCTTTATCTGAGTCCATCTCAATAGTGGAAGAGCTGGAAAAAATGTTTCATCATGTCTCACCTGTCATATTCTACTATAGACACTATTATCACAAGTTTTGAATAAATCGAACATGGTCAATGGTTGCTGCTATAACATGGGAACGTCGGTTGGAGGATTTCTTTGCTTCTAATCTCAGCTTGTCTGCGCCTGGCCAACGCATTGAACTCCTTTTGCTTAATAGTATCTGAACACATCTCGTCACACAGTGAATCTCCAGTCCCAGTCCAAGCAAGTCAATTGCCTACACCATTGTGAGAACCAACCATTCGCCCTCTTTCGCCTCTGATCAGCACCTCCCTTTCATTTCTACGTTGCCCAGTTTTTTTGGCCAAGACGCAGCGACGCGCCGTCGACCAGTTCGACGCGCCCGTGGGTTCCGGCAGCCGCAGCGGTCCTTCCCCTCGGCTGTCAGCTTTGGACGTTGCGTGGCCGCTCCTGGGAGCATTCCGTTCAGATCAACCGGATGCAGCCGGATCGGATGCAGCCAAATCTGTATAAAGTTTTGAAGAGGGCGCGCCGATGCACTTGATCAAGCACGTGACCGTCACCAGTTTGGGGTTTCAGCGCTGGCTCTGTTTTCAGCGCTGGCTTGAAACACCTCCCAAACCACGGTGAATGCGCCCAAAACATGTCGCATCACCCGCCTGGGCGCCGGTGCCATCGACACTCCCACCTCAGGGCGGGAGAAGGCAACGGAGACGTCCGGGGCGATCCGGCGGCTTCTCCGGCGGGCCTTGGAGCAGCGCCTTTCTCGCCCTCCTGGGCCGGAGGCAGATTCATGGTTCGACTGCTCCTAGTAGCGAACATTGCTCCTGGTTAGTGATGCCAGGAGCCCCGAACGTAGCGTCCTTGCTCCTAGTAGCTAGCGATGCCCTTTGCTGCCAAGACGCTTTGATGTCTACCATTGTCTACCAGATTCTATAGAGATCTATGATCATAGAGGACCTAGCATCCTCTAATGTGGCAATGGCATGGTACTTGGGCCATCGAACCCCGCAGGCACTAGGTCTTGCCATGCAGGCATCCAGCCGAACAGAATCCAGCCGATTCAATTCCTCACCCAAGAAAGCCAGTTCTTCAATTGCAAAAACCAACATACATCAACACACTGCAGAAAAGGATCAAACATGTTCTATGCTTGTAGGGAGACCTCTTCCCTCATGCCTCAGCACGACGTGCTTCAACCCATTGAGCACATGTGACATGTATGGAAATCGACTGCGTGCAAACAGCTACTAGTATTGAAAATGCTCTGTCAGCATCTTTGACCTGAGAATAGATCTGGATTTATGTAGCCTTTCTACATGCCGTAACCAAAAAATTACCAAGTTGGACAATCCATCCAACCACCGCTCCCCAAAGGTCCTCCTCGCCATTCCGCCTCTCGAGAATGGAGCGAACGCTAATTCTTCGGCATCGGCGCAGATCTACAACCAGATCTGGAGTAAATAGAAGATGAACATATCAGAAGATATCACCAGTTTCCTTGTGGTTTTTGGATCTCCCCATATTCTAGCCAAAATTCAAAGTATCCACTTCCTGTGTTGATGGACATCTTCCACCAGTTGACAAAAAATAATGAGAAGTCCTCCAAAACCGCTGCGGCACAGGATCCCAGTTCCACCCCAAAGGCTTCAGCCCCAAACAAACAAAATGAATGAAGTATGGCTTGGTAGTTTTACTGGATGGGGTTTGACCGGTAGTTCGACCCTCCAAACCCAAAAATAATAAGAAAAAGAAAACACCATTGGTTGGAGTCTCTTCCAATACTCCCACCGAACTCAATACTCCAACGACCGCCCGCTCGACCGCCGCCTCTGGTCACTGGGCAAAGCTGTCGACGGCACCGACGCCCAGCGAGTCAACAGCCTCCGCCGACGGCGACAGACGCAGCGACGTCGACGGGGTCGAGCGAATGTATTACCTATTGATCATCCCTTGGCCTTGCAGGTGTTGCTGGGGGTCAAATTTTGGAAGCTCTTCCGGGCTGCAAATGCTTCGAACATTTAATCAGTTTCAGTTTCAGAATCAGTTTTCGGGCAGAACAACAACCAGGGTCCATTCTCAGTCGGTCTATGTATTCCAATAATGGCCAGTATGATTTCAGTTTGCACTTGGAACATTCAACATCATCAAATCATGGCATGCAAGCTGCTCTCTGGCAAAGACCTGTCTGTTTTCGCGATGATTGTACCAGGCTCGCGCTGGCTCTGGGAGGCATGCAAAAGCTTTACATATCAATAAGCTCGGAACAGACTGCTCTCCGCCTCTTCCTAAATTTCTCAACTGCATAACTTAAAGGTATGAAAGCGGACATTTGACATGTTCCTTCCCCAAACACTACAGTACCTAGCTCCTTTGAAGGTTACGGATTTTCGAGGCGAGTGCAGTCTGCTTTACTTAATGGATTTGCAGCAAATTTCGAGCAGCAGCTGTCACACCAAAGCACCAAGCATCTCATGTCCCACCACACAGGTTGGACATAGCGACCGAATTCACGAAAAAGGACACCCCAGCAGCTCGTTCTGTTTGCGCTCTCAATCTATCTATAAAGTCATAGTGCCATAGTAGCTGCTAGCCCAGAAATGGAGCTCTCAAAAGCTTACAGTCCATACAAACAAGCCTCCAGTATACACGGTAGGTTTGACTCGAAGGGGGAGGCCAAATAATCAATTGTTCAAATTCACCAGAACCTCTTGGGACAACATCGGGCAAGACTTCCATAATTACGACTAATTAGTAATTCTCACTGCAATGCTTGCGAATGCACTGCAGGGCGGACTTTTGCTAAAAAGGGCTTGAGCTCGAGGTGCACCTTTGGTGCGCGGCGAAACATGAGCTTCGATGACCTCGTGGTTTCATGAAGGGCATGGTGCAACTAAATGCTGGATTTTGTCACTCGGAATTCTTTCTTTCATGGAACCACTTGCCATGGCCTTCAGCTGAATGTACGGTCGCTTTAGCCAGGCAGTCATGTCATCTCGAAGCTGTTTGGTGCACTTAGTCAGGCCGTCGGCCCACATGAGAGTCGTGGGACACCAAAAAATGGTGCTGGAGTCGATGAACTCCTGAATTGACCTAATGTCAACATAGGTCCTCTTCTCTGTCGTGCGCGGGTTTTCCGCGGAAACCGCGTCGAACAGGCTTTTGCAGTCCGTCACTTGCAGCTGCCGCAGCTTCCACTTCTCGGGGTCCCGGTGAAAGGCGGTGCCAGTGAGGAGCTCCGAGAGGACCAAGGAGACATAGTGGGCTCTGTCGACGCAGTCGTCACATGCTATCGACTCTGCAGCAAGTGTCGATCTGCAGACCCGGCTTGATCGATTGGAGCGCCAATCGACTATGTTGCCTTTGGTGACGACCTGAGTGCAGTGAGGCGTTGTGAGGAGCACAATGCATCCCTGTTGAGATGCGCACTGAGCTGCATTTGCCCAGGAGCTGTCGGCATATCCGACGATGGTTGTGGCACGGTTGATTGCCACGTCTTGGAAGGTGAGGCCATCGTCGGCGTGCTCTCTCGCATAGTCCAGGGTGGAGTAGAGCTGAGCAAGCTCTGCCGGCCCTGTGTCTTTGCCTTTGTTGGCCAGTGAGACCCATGCGGCCAGTTCTGGCCTTGTCTGGCCTGCGAGCCATTGGATGGACCCCGTCAGGGATGGGAACTCGGTTTGTTCCTCCATGGAGAGGGGCGGCCCCTCCTGGATGCGTCCTTTGCGGACTTGGCCTGGCTCGCTGTTGGCGATGAACTGCTTCTGGGTGACCTTGAGGTGGTACTTGTCATCAGCTTTGACAAGTGACAGCTCTTTCCCTTTGAAGGTGAGGCTCTGCTCGGTGGTGAGCTCTGCTGAGCTTCCCCAAGTGAACTGGTTGAGGATCTCGGACTTGTCGTAGTCCAGGCGGCTGGCCATGAGCACGTCGTCGACGTAGACGATGGCGATTGCCATCAGGTGTGCTCCATCTTTTGAGCGCTTGTAAAAGAGGAGACGGTCCAGGCTGTGTTGGAGGTAGCCTGTGGACAAAAATCTCCTTGAGACTTCTTTGTACCAAGTCCTCGGAGCTGAAGCTGAAGCTAGCCCATAAACGTTTCCTCGGATGCGGTAGAGTGCCGCAGGGAAACTTTGTGCCCGGCGTGTGATCTCATCTTGTGGTGGAAGGAGGTCCTGTTGTCCCTGCATGGAGGAAGGCAGTTGAAACGTCCCCGCACCACAATGACCATGGCGTCGGGTCATTCTCCATGAGCTGGTTGCGGCCGGCAATATAGATGGCCAGAAGGATGTATTCGGAGGTGTGGCTTGGTGTTGGTGCGTCCCTGCTGACGCTTGCCAAGTCAGGGTCAAGATGACCCAATGCCACGACCCTTGTCTTTGCGACCAGCTGGGTCGGGTCTTTGGATTTGTTGCGGTAGCATGCTCTGGCTTTGAGGATCCTGCGCCTGGTTGCAGGATTTGCCATGATCTGCGCCGCAAGCTCTGGTTCGATGGCTTCGATGGATCCCCACTTCTGCCATCCATTCCATTCTTTGACAGCGGAGGCAATGTAGGCATCGATTTGGTCTTTGGGCAGCTTCATGATCTGCCGCCAAGGAATTTCCCGCTCGAGGGCCTTTGCTTCCTTGCGGGTGAGGACTTGGGCTGGATCTTGTCTTCTGGGCCCGATGAAGCGGCATCTGATTCACTCTGGAGAGTCGTGAGGTCGGTCTCCAGAACATCGTATCCTTCCATCTGGAGGATCTTGGTGGCAGCTTTGGCGAACAGCACGGAATGAGTCTGGGTGATCACAGTGTCTGGTGATCCGTCCCAGCTCCAGTGTGGTGGCTCAATGCGGCCATGGGTGTCGTTCAGCGTGGCCTCAAAGGGCCTCTTCATTGGCAAGGTAGGCATGATGCTGCCTGTTGGTTCTGTGTCTGTCTGTGGTGCCTGCTGAGGTGGTGCAGCAGGTGCTTGTTGTGTTGTTGCTGCGTTGTCCGTACCATCGTAGACTGTCGTCGGTGGTGACGTGTCAGGTGGTACTGGTATCACCTCAGGTGCTTCAGGTGTCTCTGGCACCGGTGGCAGTGGTGGCCAGTGTGGTACCGGTGGTTCCTGCACTTGCTCAATGCCGTGAGGCGTTGATGTGCTGCTTGAGGCTGTTGAGCTAGATGAAGTACTTGAGGCTTGTGGAACCGGTGGTGCCCGTGGTGGTGCCCGTTCTGCTGCTGGTAGTCCAGGTGTTCTGGGAGCCGTGAGGGCCCGGTTGGATGGGGTTCGGGATCGTGCCTGTTTTGTGAGCCCGAACCTGTTTGGGTTGTAGTCAGTGTCCAATGTCCTGCCTCTAGGTGGCGGTGTGCGACACTCTTGTATTGACGTGTGTGGGTGAGTAGATGTTGATGTTGTGCTGAGTAGTGTTGTGTGATGTTGCTTGTGCGTTGATGGTTGTGTCCACATGAGCTTGTGCTGTGACTGTTGGTGTTGTAATGCCTGTGGTCGGTGGTGGTGCAAGAGGCTGTAGTGCCGTGTCGTCATACCCAACTTCGATTGGTTCATAGCTGTAGGTCTGGTGTAGTTGGTAGTCGTAGTCATCCTCATCCTGTAGGGGCGCTGTGGCTCGGTGGTCTTGCCACATGTCTGTGCGGATGTTTGTGGAGGCGTCGTGGAGGCATTTGATGTCTTCTCCACTGGGTTGCCATTGTTCGAATCCGTGGGCTCCACGGATTTGCTCAAGGGAGGCTTGGAGTGTCGTGGTTCCGGAATGGAGCCATGCTGAGCGACCGTCCGGGTCGTATGCCAGGAATCTTGCCACCACCCATGCTCCTCTCTTCTTCGTTGATCGACCTCTTGGGTTTTGCCATCTCCAATAGGCACAGCTTTGGCCTGGCAACAACTCGTTGTGGTGTGGAGTGGCCGTCTTGCGAAGGAGGGCTCTTCTTAAAGCCTGGCTGGTGTTGACTTCGATCATTGCTTTCATGGCCTCAGCCCGAAGGATGTCAGGTCTGACTGATCCGTACTGCTCGTTCTTGGTGATGAGGGCCTTGTCACCTTGGAAGAGGCCTGATCCAACCCGTGGTATCTGTCCGAACACGGCCATGTAGGGGGGTCTGCCGTGGGAGTAGGACATGGAGTTGAGCGCGTGAACTGCGCTGTCCAGTGCCTCGTCGATGTCGGCCTCGCTCATCACAGCTTCAGCATCTATCACCCTTTCAAGGATGTCTCTGAGCACGCTGTTACGCCTTTCAATGAGGCCAATGCGCCAGTGAGCTTCTGCGCGGATCACCTCCAGGAAAATTCCGTGGCGCTCAACGAAGTCCCTGAAGTCCTTGGCATAGGTGCCGCCTGGGTCCACACGGATGCATTGAGGAAAACCGTATGGTTTGAACCAGACCCGGCGAAAGATCTCTGTCATCGTGGCCGAGGTGAGGTCTGGTAGGCGGGCAGCCTGGTGCAGAAGTGTGGATTGATCCACAATGCCAACTACCGCATGGTTCTTGCCGAGCACATCTCTGCAGTAGAAAACGTCGCTCTGCAGGTTGTCATTGAACTGGCCAAGCGCAGCGGTCGACATGGAGCTTGGTCGAGGCTGAGCTCGTTTTTGTGCTCGGTTGCAACTGGCGCACTGCATGCTCTTGACGGCTGTGATCATCTGCTTGCTGATGGCCCCTTGCCAGGCCAGCAAGCGTAGGAGTTCCTTTTCACTCGGATGTCCGAGGTTCAGGTGAAGCCGTCGGATTGCTGCCTTTGTATCGTTTGTCACATCGGCTGGGCATCCAGGGAATGTGACGGTGGAGATTGGTGAACTAGGGACCGCCTGAGGTTGCTTAGCCTCTGGTCCTTCTTGTGCTGGTTGTGGTTCAATCTTTGGTTTTGCCTCCTGGTCGGTAGTGTCAGGAATGCCGAACCAGA